ACTGAACAAGACATAGTTATAATAATTATTTTATTTAATGCCAGTTTACAGGCATTGTCAGGGAAGCGTTAAACACAAAGCCGGCCGGCAGTGAAAAAAATCCTGTGGAAAAGGAATAAAAATATAGTTGATGGTGGTTTTATAGATTGGAGGGTTCAGGAGAAAAAAAACTGCTGGCGACAAGCTTTCAATCGTCAAGAAGGGAGGGGTCGCACGGTATCGGATAATATTAGTCGCCAATTTCTTTCAGGAATTTAGGGTTAGTCCGACCAGAAGCGCCGAAGAGCAGCTGTCGCTGTTAGCCAGAGAAATTGTCCCTGGTGAGACCGGCCATAGTGGTCAGAGACCACAGACGCCATCGCTACGGTATAGTCGTTCGGTGGATTCAGCACCCAAAATTTGTGGGAACTTTTCTGAATGCAAAAATCGAGTAATAGTTCTTTTAAATAAAGGATAATTTTGCAGAATTTTTACATTCCTGGGTAGCTTATTCGAAATAGCAATAACATTTACAGAAAAGAACCGAAGATATTTAACAGTACGTGCCAGAGGAAGTAATAAAAAGAGCTCACGGTAACTGTTACGTCGTTGTTTAGTTCCCCATTTGCAAAACACCTCAGTAGTGAGTCCGAATCGGTCCCTTTCTTTCGTTCGCATTCGGATAGGACACTGAGAACAATCGATGTTTCCGCAGATCTTATTAAGAAACACAGAAGTCGGGAACGGCCGGGATTTCAAATAAGATTACCAAATAGGCATCCGACTTTCCCATATTGCTCAGTCATTTATTCTCAGTTCATATTTCGAGCGATTTTTCCCGAAAATATGAAAGACGCCAATTATAATTCCTGTCTTTATGTCTGGATCTCGGTCCGATATTAATAAATATTGAGGCGTGCCCAAAAAACCGCCTCTAGAAAGACTTCTTCAAAGGATAATTTTCGATGAAATCCTTGACTCCTATCCAGCTACTCAGCTCCGGAGCTGTAATTAGCATGGATTTTCATCTGAAAGATACTGCAAAGCTTGCCACTTAGCCTTTCTTGATTTAATCATGACTCTTCGTAAGAAGCAGTAGTCAGTGGTAGTTATTTACTTTGATCTTAGCAAAGCCTTCGACAAGAAATGTTCGGAGAGTATTTACTTGAAAACAATTCTTTCAAGCTGCACCCAATATTTCTTATACCGAAAGATGTCAGTTAGCGAACATTAGGTTTTTATGGATGGGAGGACTCGAAGCTGGTCTTTGCTTCCCGTTTCAAATTAACTCTAGCTCTAGTCTTCTGTTGATTAAAACTATCAGTCCGAGAGATCGGTTTTATGCCACTCAAAACTCCCCCAAGGTGATTCCACCGCCCCTTTGCAGTACACCTAAACGCTGTCCTTGTTTTGCATCCAAATATTTCGGAATAATCTCCCACCAGAACTTATGCCATCGCCTACCTTATCGCTCTTTCAGTCGAAATTATGTAAGCACCCTGCATCAGAAAGCATAAAGTCGCTATTGAGCGTTTCATTCTCGAACACTCAGCTTCTTGACCTTGAGAAGGGTCCTCCTGGGATTTACTGGTAGATGATTAATGTTCTGTCTGTTCAGGTGGAAACTCACACTTATAGTTTTACACTCACTGTTTAAAATTGGCTACTAAATCCCCTGCTATTGGTTCTCCCCTGCAACGATGATTTTTGCGGTTTTTTTGACGTTATCTCCGCATTTGCACCCAAAGCGGCCTGTTAACGATCACGGTGGAACCCTCTATTCTCGCCATCTGCTTGTAGTTTTGTCGGTCAGCAAGAAAACGACATGGTTGTATCTCCCGTACGTTTTTGATGACCGCCTCAGCCTATAATGTCTCCTTCTCGACTGGACTCTAGCAGGCGGTGACCGATCGCGTCTGACTTCCTCTCGTCTCGCCACTTTGACAGAAACAGCCTCTCCCGGTTCAGGAATCCTGCCTTTCGATCCCTTATTCACTGCTGATATTGTCCAATAGGTGCTATAATAAACCTATTCTACTACCATATGCAAGCCAGTCCTATCTGACGCGTATATTTTCACTTCCACGAGCGACGGTTTTACTCATTTAAAGCAAATCAAATCACATTAGCCTTTTCTTTTTCAAAAGAAAGAGTTTTTTTCACAGCTTGATGACCGTTTTTTAATAGTTGGCTGTTTATATTTGGAGCCTAAAATGCCCACCTCCCAATGGGATCAAGAGAGAACTCTGCATATTTTGTCAACTGTGATCATGTCCACGTTGACGAAAACCCGTTGTACAGCTCTCACCATCCTCATCGTCCTTGCAGCTGAATTTGCGGACGGCACTGTTCTTCTTCCAATGCTTTCTACGGTTTTGAATTTTGCATCCTAGGGAATGCTTCACAATGACACACATGTGAGGATACAGAATAATTTCGGGGACTGTGGATAATGTAAACGGATTTCAAACGATATGTGGGAACAAAATCGGAGCGTGTGTACAAGGTTCCAAAAAGAAGAAAGAACATGCAAGAAGCAACTCTCGGATTCTTTAGTTTCGGAATATAGGTCTAAATGCAATGTCTAAGGTAACCCCTATCGATCGTGCGGAAACGTAACCGTAAAAAACTAGGCGGACCCAGTGACTGAACTTTCGAAAACGTACAGTTTTTATAGGAGTGGAAAACGCTGTAAAGATGGCCAGTCTTTGGACAAGGAAAATACGGGATAATACCCAAATGCAGATGGGAGAATTTTGATGATATCCACACAAGGCACTAACAAAGTTCCGTTGATTATAAACGTAGGCTTTCGCACCGCATTTTAATAACAATTACTACCTGCTTATGCTCATATGCATGGTTTTAACTGTAACTCCCGTAAATACTTAAGAAAACGAGGCGTTTACCACTTGCTATTCACAAATATTTCTGCCCGATAAGTAGGAGAAGAGGATGTCAGTAGACTAAGTACGCTTATTCGGGCGAAAATGATTTTTCGGTTTAACTTCTTTTAGACGGTGTAAATTTGGCAGACTAATGAATTACTTTTTAATATACTTAAATATAAACTACATAATAATAGCCATCCTTACAAAAGTAATCGTCTTAGGGGATGTCCACAGTTTTTGTTTATCTGAACTGATAGCTAATAACATGTCTGCACAGTTGAATGAGAAAGAGGCTGCCTCTTCCCGTATTTTATCTTATGGAGCATAACGGTGGATAGCTAAAGATATTTGTCCGAGGTAAAATATCATGTCTACGTTTGAGTTTTCAATTGCCTATGTCCCTTTTCATTTTAATCTTGTGTTTACTGCCCAAAATGTCCTTTTTGTATATAAATAATTTGGCCGTTTTCTACCAAAATCTTTTAGAATGAACGGCGACATTAGCCGTATACCGATTCAGTCTCTGGGAGCTGTATTTAGTCTCACAGATATTTTGCCCGAGCTGCCTTTACCTTCTGCTCTTCCCCATGGGCCGAGTAACGACACCTTCCTGTCGGACTCGGTGCTGTCTAATGACGCCGTAAGGTGCTTGCTTTCCAAAGACGAAACTCTCACGTCCATGCTAGCGGAAGCTCTGACAAATGTCTCAACCGACAATATGTAGGTTTATTACACCTTTCTCAGTGTCTTTCTCAGCGATCTCAACGACAATCCGTCGACGGAGGCACTGGACTCCTCTAATCTCCCGCCCTTATTGGTGTCAGTTCTCCAAAAAAACGACTCTGTTTTTCACCGTAAGCGCGGAGTCTATCTTGAGTCGCAGAAAAAACACAGTGTACCGAATTGCAAATGGAATTCTCAATCTACTAACGACCCAAATGGATGTAAGCCCGTTTTATCAGGTCCTGTATTTGGTGTGTAGAGCACCCAAACATCGGGGCTCCACCACTGCTTTCTTACACGTAGTTTCTCTGCCCACACATGACTTACGACGCCAAATATTTGTACTTGATTTTTCCCACCCTTTCTATAGACTCTTCAAAGGGTTATCCAATTGCTGGTAGCTGCTGTGGCATTTCCTCTAATTGTAGATCCTTCTCTCTGATATTGTATTTTAGCGTTTGATGAAATTTCGGAATCTCCGTCCAAAAAGAAGCATAAAAAGAAGAAACATAGAAAGCGGAAGTCTGAGCACAATGACAACGCCTCCAGCGGTGTTGATTCAGCTGCCGCTACACCCGCTGGTTCAAGCTGCGGCGCGCGTTCCACCAGTGAAGATGTTATCTCGTCCGCAACCCCTCAAGTCCCTTATGGTGTGAGTGTAAATGTGAACCCCGATGAAAAGAAGATACTTCTCAAATTTTCGTTTAAACGTCCTCCTGCCGATGATTCGACTTGTAATCATCTCCAGTCCACCGAGTCGAAAGCCAAGAAAGAAAAGAAGGCGAAACGGTCGAAAGATCACGATTGCAAGAGGCATCGAAGTCGGGAGTCCAGGCAACCAAACGTTTCGGCAGGCAATCTGTTGGAGTCGAAGTCTAGTCAATCTCATCCTCTCTCCAAACCGACCTCTGGCGCTACCGATCCCCCTACGATGCCGTCACAGCTCATCCTGTCTGCCAACGGCACTGCCCCTGTTCCCACCAAAATAATCAGTGTTGCTCCTTCCAACTTTGCAGGTGCAGAACAGCCTGACCATAAAGCGTCACTGCCGCCTCCGTCTACCTTATCTCCAAACAGCATGCTTGAGGGGATAGCAGCTATAAGCAGTTCGTCTTCCCACCCCGCCGATCTACGCATGGTTTTTGACACGTCAATCATTAATTCAAGCTCAAGCAGGATGGACTATGCATCCCCTGACCTCTTCCTTAATGATCTTGCCGTTTCCCATGCTTTCAACTCCAGCATCTCACACCCGGCTGTTCCTGCCCCACCCAATTTTTCTGTCATGGACTACGACAACTACATTCCCACCGATCTCTTAGGCATGAGTGCAAACCTTGCCCCACCAGTGTCCTCCAGCTCGCTATTTTCCGGCGAAACCGGCCAAGCAAGCAACTGCTCTCCTTCACAGGAAAGCAAGGTTTATCGGGGCCCATTTATGGTGGCCTCACACTTGGATTATGACTTAAAACGGCCCACTCAAGACCAATCTTTATTTTTGGATAACATTCCTACCTCCACCTCTGTTCCCGAATTTCACAACAATGCTCTGCATATGTCAACGCCTCAGAAGGTTTCAACCAGTCATTTGAAGGGTTATGATATAGCCAGTCTTGCTGATCCTATGTCTCAAGTCACGCCCATGGGCTTGGCGAGTTACCTCAACTCCTCGCAACAAAATCCTAAATCAACGCCGTCTATGCAGTCACCCACCAATGCGCATTTACATTCCACCAGCAAAGCCGTCAATGCTTCAGGAAAGCCACCGAGAAGAAGACCAATTGTGTCCAGGCGTAAGCAAACTTACTGGCTTTGCTTCAAACATGCGTTACAAACGCACTTTGTATTTTCTTGTAGTCCACTCAAATCTTGTTCTAAAAATGAGACCGGGCACATAAACTATCCAAACCAAGGGATGTTATCATGCTCTAACAACATCAAGTAGGTTGTGATATAGTTTATCGGCAGTCTAAAGTCCTATTTTAACCAGAATGTATGGTCATATTTATTCTCGTTCCTTGTAGTGTGGCACAATTTTCCGCGTCATTGTAATAATACATGATTATGGGGTGGATATTACGCTCATCATAGCAGCCTAATCGGCATGCCTTATGCCTGTTTTTTTAAGTCGTCACCACTTGTTAGTGATAGGCTAGAGCCTCTGTTATAAGTGTATTTCCTTGCAGGCCGACGCCGCAATGAGCTAGAAGACCTTCGGTCCTGGGCCGTAAAATACCCCTCTGGGACACCGAACTCTGCATCTCTCAAGTCAAATGCAGCAGACAGATTGTCGGATGAGGCTTCCTCATGGGACGCTACTGTTGGAAGTTACAGCCAGGCTCTCGGTGAGCGGGCCAAACGAAGGAAACGGATGGCTAATCATCCCGGTGCCCTTTCATCGGATTTTGTATTCGAGAACGACAAGGACTACCCCAAGTAAGCCAAAAATGACCATTCCAGTCTCCCTTGTCGTTAATGTTATTAGGCCTATCTGTCTTGAAGCCAGTCAGTGTTTTAAAGTTTTGTAGATTACAAGAATACGGTTTGAGAGTGAGAGGCGTAAAGAACAGAATTATACCTCTAACGTCGATACATTCCATTGCTCATATAGGTTCTTTTTGCTCAGTTTCATCTTCGACCCTGTTAACTATAGCCTTTTATATCTCAACCTGAACACATGCGTTTACGCACTTATTTACACTGTCTAAAAATTTACAATGAACCGAATTACTACCTTCTACGTGTTTATCGAGCATTTCCGAACCGGTGCAGCCCGCCATTACGCTCAATACTGAAAATCAAAAATTGCTGACCGTTATTTTAGGTTTAATATGTGCACTTTCAGAATGGTTTTGTTCTAGTCATGCAAAGTGGATCTAGCCCCACGTTAAGCTGTAGGCAGAGGCATAGTGGTTTTCCATCTGTGATCTATCCGCCTATTCCAGACTACTAATCACACGGTATGTCCATTTTTATGCCTATAGATTCAGATGTTGATAATAGGGCCATTTCTTTCAAATTCACGTTTTTGCGCCCAATATGTGATAGTATTTGACATTTCCGACTTAAAGTCGCTTTTGCAGACTTGGTTAACCCTACCAGACATGTACCCTGAGTTTTCATGGATTGCAGGGTTTTTATAACGGCCAGCATTCCATTGTCTTCTCGACCTAACGTAGGATATTGCTCTTCGGGTGTCGGGGCGGACGAATAACTTATGCGTCTATTATTTCCAAGCACGTTTAAGGATTTCAACTTCACCATTTCATACCAGTGGAGAATGATGGTGTCTTTTTACAGTGTCCCTGGCATCGCTTCCATCCTCGAAATTGAAAATAATACCAAACAGCTATCCCCTTAGCCTATTCTATACATTGGTAATACCGGAGCGATTCCACTTCAGTCGGTATTGAGAAATCAGGGCAAACTTAAGCGGAATAGATTAGAGCCCTTACCCCACTAACTAATTAGATAAAAAAAAATCGCAGTGGTCGCTAGTCTAAATCACCATCATACACGACCGATTTCCAAAGGGAATTATGACACCACTGCTTTCTGATCTCATACGAGCGATGGGTGCTGTAGTTTGTTGGGACCTGACGTTCGTCAACTGTCGTCTGCTGACAGCTGAGGCGTGAGATTGTCTTAGAGCTTTCTGTTTTGTCAGGTTTATGGTTGGTCTCTGCAGTTACTTTTTGCCACTTATGACTAGCATGACTCCTTCTCTACGTGACCTCTATGGCACTCCCACCTAATGTGATCCGAGCCGCTCCCGCTCTTTTTATTGTATAAAATACTAGCCAGTGTACGTTGGGGATCAGAGAGTGTGGTGGTACGCCTGGGTGCAGGTTTTCACCGTGCCAGCTACCTTCGACCTCTCCCATCTCCAGTCCTTTTGACTCTGTCTTGACACCGCATCTCGGTGGGAGATGAGGAGTACGGCAGATGCAGCGCAAGTCCAGTATCCTACTAAACTAACGCACGCGCAAGTCACCGTCCGCTCTGTAGAGGATACGACGGTATATCGTGGACGACTGTCGAAGTGTCATACTGAACCGTCATGAGGCCAGCCGTTGCCTACCGCCCACTCCATGTAGCTCATCACACCACTCCTTGAGCCTGTTGAAACTCCAGACGTCGTGGCACATGACATCTTCGTTACTGGTAGACGTTTATCTAACATTCGAACGACGAAGGCCGAATGTTACGTGAGGAATAGTAAACGTAGTTGCTAGGTTATGTTCCTTTACGCTGGAAAGATTTTCCTGCCAGCTAGCATAACCAAATGCGACCGGCTTCCCGAAATATACAGTTTTTCAAAGGTTATCAACCGGATCTGCCTTTTTACGACTTGCTTTTTATGCTCTCCCTCTAGTTTTTAACCATGTATGACCAAACCATCAACTCTTGAGGGTTTCACCAGTGCTGTTGTCTTCAGCTGACGTTGACAATGTTATCGGGCGGTCAGTTTGCCCCCAGTCACCACATACTGAAGCTGCGTTAGACTAAGGGGCCGGTGAATTGCAGATAGAAACTCCTCTCCTCAGCTAAAGACAAGAAAAAGGAATCATAACATGATTAGCGCTTCTTCGTGTTTGTCTAATCTGCGAGTTATCAGCTTCTCCTACACTTCGGGGCCTTCAGCCTTCATTTATTTAACGAAGGTCTGCTTTCCATCCCCTTCGTCTGCGTTTGTATCCAGTGGTCGTACCGAGTGGATTTGCTTTTTACTACCTACGAGGATTAAAATGGCTGTGGATACGAGATTCAGCGTTCTACATTTTTCTCGAATAAATAGACCTTTACCGCCACGTGGGGAGGAAATGGAAGGGGATTCTGCGGAAAAACCCGTCACCGATATTTCTATTGGTGAAGACACAGAAGCCGGTGGCGGTGGTAGGACCAGTGACGACGAATCCTCTGCGCAAATCTCTACCAGGTACTCACGTACAGGTGCTAACAAACGTTCATACGCTGGTATGGATGACAATGAAGATGTTCCCGACGACGAATGCTACAAGGATCCCGAGACAGGCGGCCGCCGGCGGCGCAAGGCGAACGATGATGATGAACCATTTGAAGGTGGGTCTGCCTCTTCTAGTTTCGAAGATGTACTATCCTCTACTTTTTTCTCCGATATAACATTGGACATTACTTTTTCTTGCAGTGCGCCTGAAAGAGCCTGCTGAACAGCGCTTCCCTCATCTCCAGAAGGCTGCTGAACAGGTTCGACCTACGCGCGAACGTGTTCGCTTCAAGATAATGAGCGCACAGCTCTCCGAATCCAGCGCTTCGGTCAATAGCCTGAAAAAGTTCCTCTCTCGCGTGGACAAGATCCTGGACTCGGTAGAAGAACTCGATCTCCTGACGCCAGTGGTGAAGAGCAGCTCACTGAAGGACAAGGATGGCGACGTCATTAACGTCGATGAGGATGAAGAGGAGGCCGAGGAAGCTGCGGTGGCTTTGGCAGACGCCTCGGTACCCGCCGAGGCTACCATTGCACCTTCGGACCTGGCCGAACTCGGCAAAGACGTGGCCAAGTTGAAGAGCACGGGCTCTGCCAATCAGGTGCCAATGGATCGCTTACTGAAGCTGCTTACCCTTCTCCTTTTGAACGTCCGCGACGGTGCAAATGTCACGCCTACCTCCTCTCAAGATGCCTCTGACAGGCGCGAGTCACGGCTCTGGCGGGAGATTGCCATGGAGCGCGTCACCCGAAGTGTCCAGTCCAGCCTTATCGCTATCACCCTAATGACTTCCAAGGACATGCCTCGTGAAATCTACCTGGAGGATGTGATCGAACAGGTTGTCCAAGTTACTCGCTTTCAACTCTCCAACTGCATTTACCCCGAGTACGATCCGGCATATCGAGTCGAAAATACGGCAAAAGGTCAGGAGACTGGAAACCTAAATACGTCCATCATTCCACTTTTCTGTTAAAAAAAATAATTTTCACTTATCAAACATTTTGTTTTGGGCATTTGTAGATAATCAGAATAGTATCAAATCGAGGCGCGCTCGCGAACGGGACATTCACAAATCGACCGCTATTGTGCATCTTTACTATCGCCTAGTAGAGATTGTTTCCAATCTGGCAGAACTTGTTAATATGCAGCGGCTAACGGACAGTTTGGTGTTGACTCTCTCATCGCTTGGCGTCTCGGCCTTCTTCGTGGAAAATGTGACCGAACTGCAACTGGCGGCACTGAAGCTTGTGACTGGAATATTCTCCCAATATGAAGCTCACCGGAACTTAATTGTTGAAGACATTATAGCAAGCATTGCAAGACTTCCTTCCAGTAAGAAAAATCTCCGTGCATACCGGTGAGTCAGCAACCATGGTGTACACGGCTATTGAGAACTCCTTTAAACTTTTTCCAACCGGTGATATGTAAAAACCTAAGAACAAAAAAGGCTTTGTCATGCGTCGGTGATAGTGTAGTAGACGACAAAAATTAAAACCTCAAGGAAAATACTTCAAATGTCTTCAAATCGAAAAGTTGGCTTGAATGAGGTCGTAACACTAGCACAAGATATGATTCCAAGCTATTTCGTGTGCGGGAGTGTTATCTTTGGCTTAGCATCCTTCTGGACCCATATATAGACGAAATACGGTACAAAATAGTGCCTTTTCGTCGTTTTCGAGTGTATTCTCTAGAAAATGTGCTGGTCAGTTTGTTTTTACGAGAAATTTCATCGAGAGTTCTTGTTTGGAGCCGAAGTGTATTTCGATTTTTAAGGATTTTGCGGTAGTTTTCTTAAACGTTTACACGGTTTTCTTTTATAAACTAGTGTCCAAAGTTGTACTTTGTTTTCGGGCCCTACAAGGCCTATTACGATATTTTGAGACCCAGAAGCAATTCATACACCGCCGTCATCCGATTCAAATATCAAATTTGAACGAACGCAATTTCCAGCAAAGTGCACTTACGAAAAAAATACTTTTGGGCAAAACTTCCGGGAGAATTTTTTTAATTTCTAAAAATAGAATCCTTTGCAAACTGCATACTCTTTAGGTTGAGATTTTTACCGTATACTTTTTACGCGTGCGACTGGAAAGATTCTTGGGAGAAAGCCAGCACGCTACTGCTCATATCGTTTTTCTTTTTGGAAGCCTTTTGCCTTTACCGCGAGAATGAGCTCCCACTATTAATTGAGAGATAGAGCATTCCAGTGTGCAATTAGGCAGGTAGTCTGCTCAAGTGACGCTGACACATAGATTTATGTCCATGTCAGTCTGATTATACTCTATCCATTTTAGGCTGAATTCCGAGGAGAGTATTCAAATGTTCACGGCCTTGGCTCTGCTCCTAGTTCAGTCAGTCATTGAGCTTCCCAGTCGTCCTGCCGATAGCAAGACTTCCTCCGCGAACGCTGACGAAATAAGCTCGACCGCAGCAACCAACAATCCGGACTCCTCTAAGGCCAAACCCTCCCGGCCGGACGATGAAGTGCTGGTTACCTCCTCTTACCAAAGAGCCTTACGCACAGCCCATTCATTCCTAGCCGTCTTCCTGAAGAAATCCACTACCCGTGGAGAGGACGACTATCGTATTATTTTCGAGAACTTTGTCAACGATCTACTCCTTACAGTGAATAAGCCCGAATGGCCTGCAGCCGAAGTGATGCTCAGCCTACTGGGTAGCCTTCTGGTCCAACAGTTCAACAACAAGTCTCTCGATCAGGCCATTCGTGTCACCAGTGTGGACTACCTAGGCACGGTTGCCTCCACTCTGCGCCGTGATGCTGTAACAAGCCAGCTGAAAGAGCACGACATTGACCTAATCATTAAGGAGTTGATCGACGGCAACCAGTCCGATTCGGAGGAAGAAGAGGGTTCGGAGACAGAGACCACCGAGGCGAAGGCTGATGTGGAGGAGAGGAAGAAAAAAACAAAGAAGGAAGAGGAGGACGGGGGAGAAAAGGAGGGAGATGAAGAAAACAAGGATGAGATCAAGGAGAACGGTCTGGCGCCCGAAGTGAAGGACGGCGAAGTGGAGCCTGTCGATAAGGAGGCCGCCAGAAAGACGGATGATGTCGGCAAAAGCGATGTTCAAGAGCAATCCGCCGAAGTTGTCACCAATGTAGATGAAGTTAAGAAGGAAACCGCCGCCAATGGTCGAAGGCACAAACGAAAATCGACCCCGGCAAACTCGACCAGCACTCCGTCAGCGGACCCGGTACCCAGTGCGCCCGCTGAAATGGATCGCATCTTGGTTCTTCGTGATGCCATGCTGGACTATCTGCTGGAGGATGAGGCTAATCCTGTTGCCTTGGTCAGTATTATTTCCTCCTTAGTTTGATTTACTAGACTTCCTTGTGTGATTGCGTATCTTCCTGGCCTCCAGTGAAACCTCTTGCAGACGCACAAGAGCTAGATAGTCACTGCAATTTTCAGGAAATTAACTACCGTGACTTTTTGGCATTAATAAACAAAAAGGGGAATTAGTCCATTCCGGCATATTTCTCCCTCTCATTATGCCCAATTACAGGACAGCTTTTGCATTGACTCGGATCTTTAATTTTGCGCGTATGCTAAAGCTGATTAGCTGGCATTTTCTCTGTTTAGTGACGTTAGTATGTATTGCAACGGTGTCTAAGGGGGGAAGACCCTCTGATAATTAATCCAGTAGTATACTCGTCGAGAAGGCGTGAATATTGTAGCGAGGGAGATTTGCTCAGGATATACACCTCCACCTCTTTCAACACCCATTGTACTTCGATCATAAGACTAAATCCAGGCGAGTGGAGTGGAGCGTAGTCATGATACCTGACTTGGCACGAAACCCTTACCCTCGTTGTGCAATGCATATTCCGATCCTCCGATTGACACAGAGGAACTTTGCTTACCCGAATATCACATCGGAGGAAGATGTCATAAAGCGAGTTCTGAAAACCCACTAGTCTGCCAAGCCCCAACTGAATGCGCCATGATATTTAGAAGATCGCAAGAGGTACCCTGACAGTTTGACCACCGATTCCGACGATGTCCACAGCAGGGTGGACGCAGGCACGCTGATTTGCACATGAATAAGTTAATAACAATAGGGGACTTGCGCTGAATCGGCCACACTCTCCCCATCCACCTGACTGACACGGCGTAAACCCACGCCTAGAGGTGCCACCACACTTGACTCACCAAATGCAGTAGGTGGGCTAAATCGTGAACTTTCAACCGAAATTCCGAAGTGCATTTTCGTTTCGAAAAGATTAATGAAGTAGGTTTGTAACAGTAATCATCGTGTAGCTAATGCTATAATTATTCAGTTAAGGATGCCGGCTTTCGAATGAACTTCCTTCCGGTTGCATGCAAAAACTACACTCTGTAAGAAATGACTACTTAAGTAGCATGAATTTTTCTCACTGATTTTCGACGCCCCTAAAAGTACAATTATATTTCGTCAAAAACATGCATAAAAATATTCATTCTTTTGCTCATTCGGTAGATAATTACGTCTTCTTCTAATTTTATACTCGAAGGAGGGACACAATTCGGTTTTTAAAAAGTTTCAAATTGTGGGACTTAAATACAGTGAAATGGCCGTTCATAAATCGTCATGTCTCTGCGTTTACCAATGTGGCTTGTAAAGTTAACAATATGGATCAAATCTACTGCTTATTTTTATGAACCCTATATGGTCCCCCTTTATTGCCGTAGAGAAATGTGTGGTTTTCCGTACGTGGAAAATACACGGCTTGTGGTTTGGAAACCCTGCATGCAAAATTAGCCGGGAATTGGAGAAGTTTTTGAAAACCGAATTATACCCTTTAAGTATAAGATTGGAAGAAGACGTAGTTGTCTACGAATGAGCAAAAGAATGAATATTTTTATGCATGCTTTTCATGGAACATAATTGAATCTTTAAGGGCATCGAAAATCAATTAAAAAATGCATGCTACTTAAGTAGTCACTTCTTACAGAGTGCAGCTTTCGCATGCAGCCGGAAGGGAGTTCATTCGAAGGCCGGCATCCTGAGGTAAGTGAAATATTATAGAATAAAGTTGCAGGCTGACTAGTTTTGCAACCCTACTTAATTAATCTTTTCGAGACGAAAACGCATTTCGGAATTCCGGTTGACATTTCACGAGTTAGCCCACCTACTGTACAAATAGCCAGCATTTTACATAACAAGAAAAAGGATGGAGGCACGGATCCTAGCTGATTGGGAGGAGCCATTGTACTCCCCGCTCTGTGAGGAAGACCGAGTTATCCCGTCAGCTGGCAGCGTTTCAAGCCACGGCTTTTGACGCACTGGGATAGCTTTAAGCGCATAAGATTGTTTATAGTGAGGTATATGCGCTTAGATGGCTGACCTCACTCTCTTCCCTCTGTCAGGCATCAGTCCACTGTCCGAGTTGGTCAGTTGTCTAGTGAGGGGATTGGGCGCTGTGGCTGACAGAGCTAGGAAGCCAGACAGCGCGTGTCACACACACGACTTGGTCTCCCACACGCCAGGATTTCGCACAGGGGTCGACTGCAAAGGTCGAGTAGCAAGGGTCATATGAAGAAGGAGCCAGAGGACACTATTCCCACGACAAGCCGCTCAAGATCCACTTATTTGCCTTCCATTGTGTACCTGTGCTGAAGGTGGGCTAAATTGACTGGGTGAAAAGGAATCCCCCTGAAATGGTCAGGCGTGGCGATTAAACACAGTCAGTGATTCCTTTGTATTTCCCCCTCACTTGTAGTCCGTGTCCGACCTACTTTGCCTTCTCCTAATCCTCCTGGCACTTACTATTACCTGGTTCGTTAGTAACCAGCTGAAGCCATACGTAGCCTCCAAGTTGGGTTCAAAACAGAATGGGACTTCATTTCCGTCCTTTCACCGCATTCATTGCTCATGTCATTTGTGCTCTGCTAGTAACATTGAGAATTAAGTGTTGTTGCTGTTAGTGTCATCACGTACATTTTCACTTGTTTTCCAACTTGTTTTTCACTTGTTTTCAGTTGTTGGATGTCCTAATTTAGGAGTAGACTGCTGCGCCTTTTGATTCTTATCCACTCTGTAGTACAATGTCTTCCACAAGATAACATTTACTGACTCCACTCCTGCGTTTATTCGACCAACTTCATCAGCTGAGGTCGAATCTAGCGTGGCCTCGTGATTTAAAGACATCTGCGCGTTTTTCTTTTACAGTACTTTTTGGCGTACTTTCTGCCTGTTATTCTTAAAGTTGTGCACAGTCATGGATCACGCGACTGAAACTTGTATTTGGGAATTTGGCTCATGGCCTTATTTTACTTTCATTTTCGCTTTACGTTTATCCCGTTGAAACTTCAGTACGCCTGCAAATTCTACATGGCACAGTGGCTAGAGGACTGCTCTAAGGAGGTAGAACGTGCTCAGCGCCTGGCCAACGCTCCGGAATCCGAAATCGGAGAGACTTCGGAGACGCAAATTCCCGCGTCCGTGCCCCAGCCAAGCGGTAGGCGAGGCTCTCGGAAGGTGGCACCCCCAACAACGCCCACTCCCCTCTCGGCGACTGATCTGGCAGAACAGCGTCGCCAATACCTGATGGATCGTTTACGCGATGATCCCGCCAACTGGCGTCTGCGTTGTCGAGCCAAGTGCAATCGACTGGGTCCAGCGGCTATGCTGACGGCTGGCGCTAACACCTTCTCACGCCAGTCTGAAAAGTTGCGTGTCCTCTTTAAGGGCACCATTGACTACGAGGATGCCTACCTCATTTGTCGTTATCTAGCTAGTTTGCGGCCGTTTTCGCAGAGCTTTGACGTTTACCTCTCACAAATATGCAAGGTCAGTTTAGTGGTGAATGCCTTTGATGCTACTTGCTTTCTACGCGTCTTCGCATTTACTGTTGATGTCTGTTTTCAAAGCCTTCCCTCAAAACTCTGGTTAAAACGCCGCAAATTGGGTTTCGTCACATATGACAGGAAGATTTAAGTCATCCTGGTCTGTGCATGACTGCCCAGCAGCTGCAAACATGCTTATAACTGGCCATTTCAACATCCCTTGTCTTTGTCGGCAATGCATCTTTGCTGTCGACCGCACGACCGTCTGCCATAATTCATGCATGACCCCCCATGACGGAATAAAACGTCACATTGCGCCCTGCACACGCATACTGTAAATCGGGGTTTTCGACATCGTCAAGACCACGAGTTATGCCTCTCCAAGTAGGATTAGCGACTGGTGAATGCAATCCCCAAACAGCAGCCAAACAAGGGACATAGGACGGAAATCGTTCGACACGTTTTTATCTAGAATTTTCCTTACCGCGTACTAAAACCGGGTGTTTACAAGTATTTGTTTTTTTGGTGTGCATCGAGGCTGACAATCCCCGGCCCGACAAACCTGTTGATCCCCCGTCCAACCTCTTTATCGGAGCATTCTCTGCATATTTTTCAGTTATTTTGAGGTATAGTTAGCTCACGAGTCCATAAATTGCCCGAAACTCCGCTGCTACCCCAACCTCATAGGAAAAGTTACATTTTTTGCTATCTGAGTAGGCTCCCGTCTCCAACCGGACTCATCTAATCACCTGTTCTCCCCTCTCCTACAGCTTCTTAGCGAGTCTTCCGTTGCTGTGCGCACCAAGGCACTGCGATGCCTCTCCGCGGTGGTGGAGGCTGATCCGGGTGTGCTTGCGCGTTGTGATATAGAACTGGCTGTCCGCTCGCGCCTGCTCGACACCTCGACTTCAGTGCGCGAAGCAGCCGTGGATCTGCTGGGTCGCTTCCTCGTCTGTCGGCCCGAGCTCACGGCCCAGTACTACCCCATGCTCTCGGACCGCATTCGCGACAAGGGTGTGTCCGTACGCAAGCGTGTGATTCGCATTCTTCGCGATATCTGCATTGAACAGCCCGACTTTGCACGCATTGCGGACATCTGCGTGATGATAATTCGCCGCGTCAATGATGAGGAGAGCGTGAAGGTATGCCTGCAGAGGGGCCTGTACTCACCCTACCGGTTTCCTCTCCTTGTAGGATTTTTCTCGGCCAGTTGTGTGCCTTAAGAAGACGTGATCATCGAGTTGTTGAGTTTGTTGTTGAGTTGGCATTGTAAGTACATAAATAGAGCAAAAGCATCTTTACTGATGTGACTGCCACACCAGTGCAATTTCACGAGATTGCCTGCACCCCTGTAGTCGAAAAGGACAGGAAACTGCAATATGTGTGGCGAAATATTTTACGTTTGGTATCGTTTTTCTCCAATCCATGGCCCTACACCGATATACGGACATAACATCATGAGGTTGGCAAGTCAACATAGACAGGAGAACCTTATTTCTGCTGCCTCCCTCTGCAGACCTTGCATCGATCCCCGATAGGTGCCGTTTGACTTCACCTCGCTGCACCTTTGGCGCCACTTATTCGACATGCCAACGTCTGTGCCCACGGCAAAAATTTAAAATGTCGGTAGTAAGTATTAAAACCAAATAAAATGTATGCTTACAGTCGGTCGCCTGCAAAGCCTCACTCGGTAAAAAAAGCCTACTTGAGTACTATATATTTTTTGTGGTCTTCGATGTCGTATAAATTCAAGCATATACAATAGGAAACATGCGCAAAAATATTCTTCCTTGTATACATTTGGTAAAAAGTCACTCCCTCAAATTTTATACTCGAAGGTAGGGTATCTTTCGGTTTTAAGGAGTTTCTAACTTGACGATTTTTAAGGCTGCAATGTCCACTTAAGTAGCATCGCATCTGTCCATTTACGACAGTTGGACCGTCATTTCCGACGATGTTCACCGTTTGCCCTATAGCAAAGTGAGGACAGGGACGGTGACTAGTACGTGAATTAGTTTATAGTGAATGCAGGCGTGCGCAGTATTTACCGCACTCTCCTCCCCCACCTGGGTCTGAGTCAAGAAGACCGGAGGCGGAGGGCGCAGGTAGGTGGCACGGTCTAGCTTGCACCTTGACGCTCAACTCCAATCACCCTGGCCCCTATAGCAAATGACCAGGATTTTAATCAACAACAACAACAATGGGGAGGGCCGCAGGGGTCTCAATATGCTCGACGTACGCCGGCAACTGGGTCTGCCACTGCACTCCGAAATGTTGGCACTTGTTATGGTACGCAAATCCTGCCAGAATCCGATATGGCCCCCGTGTTGTTCCAGCGCATTTACTACGTGGACTGTTTAAGGGTCACAAAAGGTAGATACAGAATCCCCAAATCAGACAGGCAACAACTACGTAGGGAAGGTGGACGCTGAAGAAGCACCACGGTGCCGCAGTTTCATTATGATTACGGCACATCACAGTTCCACAATGCAATAGTACGTAGGCAGTTGGGGACTCCTATGTAGGAGTATGAAGAGACATAAGCTGTTTTAAATGATGTGCATATAACGTAGTTTAGGTCTCTTATGAACAACTGAAGACGCAATTTGACTTACAAAGTACACAGGAGGGAGAAGCTTTCCAACTGCGAGTGAACCCCCGCCTAACGCATGCCACACATAGACACGGCGTGAAGTCTGACTGAAGTTTGCCAAGAGCCAACATAGTCCTCATTTTAAACTAATGCAACGGCGGCGAAGCCTGTTTTGCGGATCCCAGAAAGCGGAATAATGCAACAAAAACAGTCGGACTACTTTTCATCGGGACATCGACCTGGCGAAAGTAACTCCACAGACTAAAACAAAACTATCTCGACAGCCCTCACCCCAATAGCCCGAAAACGAGTGCTTAACTATGGTCTCTAGAGAATAGGAAGATGTCGCCGTATCGCCTGCCCACCAGAACTGGTGCTTTAAACAACTGCTCTTTTTCGAACTGTGTATATAAAATCGGTTGGTCCTCTTCCTCTTTCCTGGGATCGAGAGGAAAAAAGAGAAGGTGTATGCTCACATCATGCAGATCCTGATGCAACTCTTCAAACTCCTCGAGGAAGGCAGCAAGATGTTTACCGGCCCCGTTCTCCCTCACCAGTTAACGAATCTGCTTGCCGATAGTGAACACGTTCAGTCGTGTAGCCTGTTTTAGGCAAAATTTCATGAGCCCTATATGGTATCTTCCTAGTGGCATAGAGAGAAATGTATTATTTTTGCATGGAAAGTGTAGTCTTGTGGACTGAAAGCCTTTAGCGCGGATGCAACGGCATATGGGGCTATAAATTAGTCGGGAATTGAAAAACTTTTAAGGCCTAATTTTTTGAGCATTAAATTTCAAAAAATGATTTCCCACCAAGTATGTACAAGGAAGAATATTTTGCTGCATCATTTCTAAAATATATATCTATATATCTTATGCGTATACGTATAAAATATCCGACATATATATCCCAAAGTCAAAAGAAAAAAATGCACACTACCTAAGTAGGCATTTTTCATTGAGTGCGGCTTTTGTGGGCGAACGAAAAGAGCCAATCGTCCATTTGTGTCTCAAATACCATATAATTATGCCGCACGCTAATGAATGGCAAAACCCAGCTTAAGCAATCCCTCCTAGTCGATAACTCATTTCAGAATTTAGATTGACACTTCACGAGATTGGCCACTAATTGATTCATGTGCAGAGATTTGTCGTGTAAACTCCTGACATTCCATCGATGATATTTCAGCTAGTTTCACCCTCATTATGTCCCCCAGAAGACCATATAGGACGCTCTTCTTGTTTTTAAATCGTCTTATTCGCGCCTAAGGAATGCTGGTCACAGATAACAACATGATCTCCCTTCACCTTCACAAGAGTAAGTGGGGACTATAAGCTGGTGACCTCGTTGTAAACCATGTTTCGATTTCCCGCTGAGATTTGACCAGAACGCGGTTTTTGGGTTTGTTGTGGAATTTTATACATATCTAGTGAATAAAATAATCCTCTTCCTCCGCTATGATGCGTCTGCGTCATCATTTACAGACAAAGCGTTGCCTTAATGACATTACCTTCCTCTGTTGGCGGCTGTAGTCGCTCATGCACCTCACTTCCGTACATTTACTTGACATGGCTTCCTCGCTGAGTTTTGGGTCATTAATGATACACCCACCCAGTCCTTTTTGTGCTGCCCGACCGGGCAGGCCGAGTAAACAGATTACAGAGTCTGGCGAAATTGACTGTTCGGTGTTGCCTTCATAGTACTTCCCTCGGCACTTTCCGTAATGTCCTCTCAGTACCCCTTTTCCACTTTCTTCAGTCTGTTCGTACTACATCGCCTTGGACAGGCTTGCAAGTGCCAAGGCCTCACATATAGTCCGTGGAAGGTCCGTGTTGTCGCCTTGCACATGCGGACAATTGGGCATGTACCTTTGCCCGGTGTGTCCTCCAAAAGCTCCCGTTGTTTTTCGCCCTCCCGCCGAAACTTGTCATGATCAAGCCATAAGAACTGTGTTGTCCACCAGGTTGTACATTTTGTGGTCTTAGGGGCTATGCGCGTATGCTGTGCCATGCTCCAGCAAACCATGGCTCTCGCAGCCCGGTGTGTGCGCTGGCAGTTCCCTGGCATGGGATTCCCGACTGGAGGATGCGTTCGCGCTCCCGCTAGGTATACAGGCCGCGCGCGTGGTTGCCCAGTGACTTGTGTCATCCTTGTTGGCCAAGTGTTTGTTGTGGACTAGAGGGGTGTGGTTGTGCGCCTAGGTGCGGGTCCGGCCGCGCCAGCCACATACGCCCTCCCCCGCGTTAGTCCTTTTGACTACGCCTTGACACGGGACTCAGGCGGGAGAGGGGCGTAGGAGAGAGTGCGGTAGATGCTGTGCACGTCCACTGTCACCATAAACTAATTCACCCACCGGACACCATGCCTGCTCTCACTTTGCTGTGGAGCACGCGGTGGACACCGTTGGCAACGACGGTTGAACTGTCATCTTTTGTGGCTCCCACAACGGTCTTCGTTGTAGGTGCGCTGGATCAAAACGAGGGTCCGGTGGTCTCACGACACGCGTTTATCCGACTGCGCCGAGTCCGCTCACGCCCAATACTATGGCTTGTGGCGGCACGCCTTAAATGCCGACCTTCACGTCGCCTCAACCACTGCGTCCATCTACTTCACCCGTCGGTCGACTGGTTCGAGAACTCGACTAGTGCATGAGTGAGTTGAGCCGACACCAGGGAATCCATCGTTACAACACTTCAGCGCATCCCTCACAGCAATAAGTCTAACACTCTTGAATCTACCACGACCTACTAAAAGTCGCGCCTCGGAAGGTTGGTGACCGACGGAATGACTCGATCCTTCTCAGGACTGACAGTCAGGCTGCAGTGGCTCCTTGGTATGGTTTTCATGGCCCTCTCACTTATGTGAAACCCCAGCTGCGGACCAGGTCATTCGTGGCACATACATAGACGCACTACTTAGCTGTGTCACCCATGGTGTCCAATTTCACCTCTGGCCGTCTTGTTATTGGAGCAGGGTAGGTGAAGGAGGATGGAGTGCAGTAGACGCTTCGAAAGCCTAATTATAAACTCATTTGCGCGCAAGTCACCGATACCGTGCCCACTCCGTGTGGGCACGCGGTGGACGTCGCCTGCGACCGTCGGACTGTCTTCGTTTATATTTTGTGACGCTCATTAATTGGGGGCTGGCGTCACGTCAACCTCTGCTCCCAAGCTCATCACAGGCCGGCCGAAAGGCACGGATAGACAGTTGGCGTGCGAAAGAGGAAAAAGACTGTAAGATCGCTAGTCAGGCAGACTTCCGTAGGGCAGTTCAGTGGTTTACTCGCTATAGCAAATCCTGCACTTTCAAATCTATCGCGACGATCTGCAAGCCAGGGCCTAAAGGGCTGCCAGCTAACAGACTAACCTGACCCCGAATGGACTGACCTTCATGACACCTCTGTCCTGTGAGATGTGCGGTATGTGTTAACCATCGCGCCCGATCGAACCCTTAGTCGACTTGGCTTGCGCTTACTACTGGTGTGTGCTCGGGAAGTGAGGTTGATCGCCTATTTTTCTTACCATAGGCAACCAAACGCTCTTTTAAGCCATCGCAGCGCGTTGAAGGCCGTGGCTTCGAAGGTTGCCAACCGAAGTGACAACTTGATCCTCCTAAGAAAAGTCAGGTTGAAATCGCACTTTTGTGTCACCTTTATAGCAACTCTTCTATGTGAATCTGTGGCCCTCCTTTAAAATGTAGCCCGTGCGGAGTAGGAACCAGCGCATGACAATGAACTGTCGTCCTCACGGTAGGATACGGTACAATAGGGACCCCCCGTTTTACAGGTGGCTTTGCGCTGAACTCCGGGGGAGTATCTATTTCCACCTTACCATCTTGACTTTGTCTTCTCACTGGAGTAGGATTGGCTGCAGAAGAGCCAGTGAGACAGGTATGTCACTAGCCGAATTCACGCTCAGACCACTGTTCTTGCCCCTGGGCGGTGGTGGTTCTCGTCGCTAACGATGGTCGAACCATAATCTTTCCGTTGCAGTATTGTCGTCTCACATCGTTAACCTGTGAATTTTTTGTTATCCTAGAAACTCGTCAATGAAGCCTTCCAGACCCTGTGGTTCACGCCCGTGCGCGAGAAGGAGTCAGTGAAACTGTTACGAAAAGTCATGAATATAACCGATGTGGTCGCAGCCTCCAAAGAGACGGGATATGAGTGGTTTGAACAGTTTCTGGAGAGCGTAAGTGTTCTGTTGTTTTTTTCTTTTTCTAACGAACTGCGCTCTTTCTGCGACGTATGGTTCCACCCGACTCTCTTCAAGTAAGGCTTTGCCGCGGGCTTTATCGCTTTAGTTAATCAGGCGTGGTGGTGACTGTAGTGTCATCCATATTTCTCGACGCAGGAATTTGCACGCGTACGCCCATGCGATTGTCAGCAATCGGGTTAATTGGCGAAAAGAAATCAGCGACACTTTGGGCAGTCGTGCAGATCAGATAATGCTACCCCAACTCAGCTACTGTGGCTGATTTAATTTCCAGTCATCTCGCGTCTGAGTCTAGGTGAGAGAATAGAGTGAGGACAAATGAGCTCGGTATTTTCGAGCATGATCCAGTTCTGGGCAAATATCTTTAACCGAAACTGTTCTCCTGTCATGTTGGTTGTGCTCTATCTCTCGGCTACTGATTCCTTCCAGCAGACCACACCGGCCTTGCGGGATGATGCGTGCAGATGCACACCAATTTCGCCCTTCCCCAGGATAGCAGTGGCATTTCGCACTCAGTCCGTCAAGATTATCGAGTACTGATTTCTTTTAATATCTGTCCCTTAATTGCCATCGGCCGCCATGTTGATATCGCGCCGACCACCGGCTGGATTTGAGGGGTACCCAGCCATTCCGATGAGTCAGAAGTCCAGTCGACATACTAACAGTTCAAGGGCATGACCTGGTCTGCTCAATTCCAGGCCGGCCTTGAACACTTTTGTATGTACCTTTTATCTCCTCATTTTCGCTGCTAGGACTCAGCAACGGACTTCTTGTTCTTCCACCCTTGCTGCTGACTTCCCATTTAGGGATTCGGTCGCTGAGGTTTGTGTAACGGGCTACCAGCCAGGCGTTACGGCCTGAGCATAACAGTGGGATCATTTCCTAAACATTTATCCAGGGTCTTTTGGCGATGCCCCAGTCTGTTTTATTCGTGAACTTGTAACGACGCCAGTCACTACCGATCAGCCGGTTGCTTAAACAGGTCGGAAGACTACCGTGCGAAGTTAAACCATTTGACAGACCAAGGACCTGAGCTACAGTCTATGTCGACTCACGTCCTCAGTTGGCTGCTTGGACGCCGTCGTTTTCCAGGGTCGGGCTCGACCGAGATACCATCCCAAGCGAGTCCACCTTCCAGCCAGTGCAGCACATGGCTGTGCCATCTTGATTGGCGAGTAAGGAGGGCGCAGTCGATCGATTGTGTTCCCACTCAGCTATGTAGACTTTCGTGAAGGACAAATTCAAAACATGCGGCTCAAGCACCATCCATCTACTAGTTCCACACAGCTTCCTCGACATCAATCCTTTTGTACGCCAGGTCTGGTTTTTTGAATGATGTCACACAAGATTTGAGTCAAGACAGTCGATGGTATGCCAGGCTGACTAATAATATTCCCCATATCTGCCTTGACACTGTCAATCGGCGAAATTCGGGAGCTAAGCAGTACCCTCCTAAATTGGGTCATTCGAGATTGCTGCTGTTCCAATTTTGCATTTTACTTACGCAGGATCTCTAAGCTATTACCCTAGAGGGAATTCTTAATGCTAGTGCCGGAGATTGCATTTTGGACGAATGCGTCCCCTTGCTGACGCTGCTTCTTGCGAGACATCCTTTTTTCCCATCCCGTGTTATTCAGCAGTTCTGTAACCAAAACTCTTACGCATGACTTTCAGATTAACAGTCAATTTTCTCCTTTCTACGCAGCAAGGCGACTTGCCCAGCTAACGCATAATCGCCTATAAAATAGTGTCAGTTTTTTGAATTTACGGTTTACCTTTTCTTCTGTTTCATCCTTTTCTATGCAGTTGCTCAGCAAAGAAGAGGGTGAAAAAGTTCGGCCGGTTGAGAAAGCCTGCGTACAAATTGTAGAGTGTCTTGTGCAAAACATCATGCGCCTTGAGGAGATCCCGGGACAAACAAACCGCCTGGTCGCCTGCCTGGCCACACTTCACCTGTTCACCAAAATCAGGCCCCAGTTGATGGTGAAGCACGCCATGCTTATCCAGCCCTACCTGTCCATTCGTGGTCACGGTGCCTCAGATGCCTACATTCTGCACTACGTAGCACGCATCCTGGAAGTCACTGTACCCCTCCTGGAGCATCCCAGCGAGACTTTTCTTGCCCAATTAGAGGAGGACATGGTGCGGCTGACCCTACGGCAGGGAAAGATTGTCCTCGAGTCCTGTGTCGCCTGCCTCGGCTCTGTGGTAAACCAAGTGTCAAAGAACTACAGCCTTACTCGTGACTGCTTTTCGCGTTTCTTCAATGCGCTGGTACGCTTCAAAGACGACCTAATGGCCGAACCTGAGAAACCTATCTCACCTCAGATTCGGCCATCCATTTTGCGAGCACTGTTCACCGTTGGACTCCTTTGTAAGCACTTCGACCCCAACGTCTTCCAGCGGGGCACGCAGGTAGGTTGATGGCTTTTGCAGCACTAGCAATTCACTCTGCACGTGAGGAGTTAAAGTATTTCGTTGGGGGACGTATAACGTTCTTCCCTCGTGCTTAACGAGCGACTGATAGTGGCTAGTAAAATGAGCTATAAATGACTACTCACGTTTTGCAAGTAGGTTGTTCAAATAACTATGTTCTGTTTCTCGCAGCCGAAAATTCTCGACCAGGTGTTTGAGACACTCATGTTCTTCTCCGAACAATTGAAAACTGACTTGGAGATGCGTAAAAAGGCTCTGGCGGGTTTGGGATTCCTGTGTACTCGCCATCACGAACTGCTCTGCGGACTCAGGCTGTGCAATTTCTATCACCAGTTGCTTCAAGCACCTCACCCGCCGCCGCCAGCTCCTGGTTCTGCGGCCAATTCCTCTTCTCGTCCGCAGTCCGACGGTTCAGTGGAACTCAAGAACCTGGTCCTGGAGAACCTACTGCACTTTTTCCTAGAAGAAGAGCGCAGGATGTTGGAAGCTGACGCCAAGTGTGAGTTTGCCCTTTCAAGCTTTCCAAACCCGTCACCGTTTTAGCTTGTACTTCCAGTCCTTGTAAGCAGTCATTCTGTTCTTATTTTCATTAGTTTTCCAGAGCTTCTATATGCTACAATTCAATACAATGGTTTTATATTGTGACGAGCATCAAACATTGTATTCACTCCTTTCAGGGAAAACAACTCGGGGCTGAAGGTATACTCAGAGTTTTTTTATTCAAGGCACTTTCCTTTCGATTCAAAAGTCATCTGGGCCGTTAGACGTAGCCCACAGTTTGGGCGACTTACTGTTTTGGTTGAATTTGTAGACACCAATTCATGATTTCACCGTTGGGTTTGCTTTACTTTGTATTTCCTGCCGTGATTCTAACGTTCGCTTCGCAATTATACCTTTCAGGGAAGGCCTGTCATAAAGAAGAGTCTCTCAAGATCATGGGTGACGTGGCTTCTGGCATCGGTAGCCATGTCGCTCAGGCCTATCTGAAGGACATTATGGAGTCCTTCTTCTCCCCCTCACCTTCCGTGCGTCTTACATCGCTCTCCGTGATCACTACAATTCTGCGCCAGGGTCTGATTCACCCTGTACAAACAGTGCCATACCTCATTGCTACGCAAACTGATAATGACCCGAACGTGCGTTTCAAAGCGGAGACTCAGCTGCAGGAGATTGACAATAAATTCCCGGGCTTCATAAGTGTGAGTTGTCTCTCTGGCCACTCGTCCGAGGTCGCATGAATGTTATCTAGTTAACACGACGGTTTCTGAGTTGCGAAACTTCCCAAAGCAGTATTCAGAAGACGAGTTAGCTAGCATATGTCTGCTGTCGTTTGGTTCTCCTCAGTCCAGTACAATTATATGGGAGTGGAGTACAGTCAAACATAGAAAATCGATAAAAGTTAGTTTTTAAAAACACAGGCTATGCGAGAGCGGAAGGGCGCAGAAAATTGCATGTGGTTAGTCAACCCTTGACTATGATAAGCGCAGAGCCTGAACGAGGTTCATCTGAGCGCATATGGTTAGTTTTCATAACCTGATTGCGGCTGCTTCTGTCGTTGCTAACAGGCGCTGGCCCAGTAGCTTAGGATAATTCGAGGGGACCTTATAAATCACACGAAAAGCTTCACCGGGATTCACACGATGCCCTGAATCAATTGCATGCGCAAGAATAGCGCTTATACTCCCAGTTTCGCCTTTTCCTAGGCGTGCGGGCGGTGTCCTCGTATTCTTTTGGATAGACGCCGACTCGTAGGACCAATATAACCTGTGCCACAGGGGCAAGTGAAAGAATAGATACAAATTGGGGCAGTCTGAAATGGCAGCTCATCATTACCTTCTCCGCGTAAAGTAGAGATGGTAGAGAATGATATTCAAACCCTTGCTGCCGGTAAGGTTCTCTGAACAGCTTGATCAAGGCGCCGTAGTTCACTCGCAGCATCTCCCTCAAAAGGAATTTTGAAGAACAAAGTTTTCTTCTCGGCGATCAGTTTGGTGGATTTTGCCGGTCGTTCGACAGTGTTCTTTGCAATTAATCTGTCAGGATACCCCTTTTCGCGAGGCAAGTCCTGTATCTTTCTAAGCCCCTCATCGATGCGATCTACTGAACAAATTTTTCTAGCTCTTTGTGCCAAACACCGGACTAGATTTCGTCTTTGTTGGAGTGGTACGAAACTGGCAAAGTTCGTGTATTGTCCCTTTTGCAAATGCTTGACTGCATTTTGGCGCCTAAAGAGAGAGCCACCTTAAGGTCTTCACTATCTTAGCTAGATTTTCAACGCAAAGCCCCCGCCCAATACGTGCCACGCGCATAACCACACAGCAGCCACTGTTATCTCCTGAGTGGTAAGGGATGCAGTTCCCAGCAATAGATTTTGCCAAACAAGCACATGCGTTAGCTGACCTTTTTGGTCCTCATCATGTCTCGCGTCCTGAATCCTTCCTGCCTATTCTGCGTACGCCTCTTTTGTAGGCAAATTGCAACGGAATTCCAGTCCTCATGAACTATGTGGGCTGTTTTGTTGTGTGATAAGTTACTGACCTGACGGATGTATGAAATGTCTGCCGGAGTTCAACATGAATGGAAGTGACCACGATCTTCCTCCCGTCTACCTGTACTATCTGCGTGATCTAACTTCGCGACGCCTTTATTTCCCCCTGCTTTAGATGAGAGCGACACAGGGCGTCTGCATGTCCTTCCGCCTTCAAGCCGTACTGCATGCGTCAGGCTGTCTGCATAAGGCTGATGCTCGGCTGGATGAACCGGCAACCGCTGCGAGCATCTCAGAAGTCTCCAGTGCCACCTGTACACCCCAGCAGACCCCCCAGAAGACGGCCCCCGTCTCCTCCACGAGACGGTCAACCCGACAGCACAACCATCAGTCACAACAACAGTCCGAGTCGGAGAACCTCTCTCAGGAAACTGTAGCAGTGCCGCCTGCAGTAGCACCTGAACCCGGAGGCAGAGCACCCATAGCACCCCCTGTCGTCATTGATTACGGTGCCATTCGCGGTTCTCGCAATGTGGACAGCGACATTCCTTCCGCTCTAAACTCCCAGCTCTACTCGATGCTGCGAGGAAATCGCGGTCAGCGCCGCTCCTTCTTGAATGGCCTCTTAGCCCTCTTTGATGACTCACAGGTAGGCGCTTCCAAATCCTCTCCCCACACACACACACCACTACACCGCATTGTCCGATTGCAACAGGTCCTGTCCTTAGCAATCTATTCTGTCCAACTCTGCTCTGTATATAGCAAGCATAATGAAGATTTTAATTTGTGCGTGTCAGGTCGCTCGCTGCCTTGTCACCCACCCATTTTTATTCAGTTGAGCCAAGACACCATTCTCCAACTTGAGTCAGGGGAGATTGAACTTATTTAGAAGTCATTAACACATTTTCAAAGACTGACTACGGGGGAACGTGGGGTGCACACAACCAGGAATTTTTCCTGCTGACGTATTCGGACCGCTAACCTTGCGTTTGGAACACGCGGATCGATGCAAACCGTCTCACAGCTAACTCTTTTTAGTTGCATAACCTATCCATTTCCCATAATCTGCATTACCAGCCACTCCTATTATTGGCACTACGATCAATGTCAAATCTGATATATTTCGGAGCACTTATGACTTAAACACTCCAATGCCAATTATTAACGCCAGATCTTGTCCCGAGTTGGTGGGGCTTAGTCTGTTCTGCACTCTGTCAAAGGAAACCAAATTGACCTAAGAAGACTGTGTGTTTATGGCCCTTGCAAAAGCTTCTCCTAACTCTCATCGCTTCATCGACAGCGTGTACATAGTTCGACTTTGGTCGCATGCTTTGTCCTTTTCTGCTGCTTCGGACGGTTATCAGTCTCATAATTCACGTCGTTAAGCGCCAGCGGACTTGTTTTGAGGTGAATATCATTGTCACAAGCTGTCCGACAAAGACCGTTAAGACGGAGGAACTTGAACCTCAGTTAACATCGGATTTAGGAGGGTTTCGTCCAAGCCTAGGGAGAAGGGAGACTTCAAGCAGCCCGAAGATTTTTGGCAGCCGGTCTGTCGCACAAACAGGTTATTTCTTGCAGGCATTTTGCCCATATTTTTTTTCTGCCAAGAACCCTATCTAACCGGCTAGGTGTTGTTTCATTCTTTTCCACAAATAGCGTCTATCGTTGGCACGGCTTGTCTACGTAGCCGACAATCTCGCCTTCTTCCCCTACCAGTGTCAGGAGGAGCCCCTCTTTGTGATACACCATATCGATCTCACAGTCAGTATGAACGGTTCCACTCTGTTGCAATCTGTGCGCGAAGCCCTCTTTCCCGAATTCAAGGCCGCCTTTGAGGCGGCACTGGCTGCCCAGCGGACGGCTGAGGCAGAAGCGGGGATTGCTGCGGCTGCTCCCTTCGGTGATTCTGAAGACCCCTCTATCCAACAGCAAAATCAGCAAACAGCTGGACCGGAGGACCAACAGATCCAGGCAGAATCGGCGGCGCCTCCCCCTTCGAAGCATTCGCTTTTTAAGCTCAACACCCCGGCCTCCTCCTCCTCCTCGGCTGCACTCCATGCCGGTCGCGAAGGTTTGTAACTGTCCTACTTTCCCTCTGTTGCCTTTGTCCTCGAGCTGTTTTGGCAGAGAGAAGAGACTGGCTACTCTTGCCCACTTTAGTGCATCTGATCTGACAACACCCATATTCAAAGTGTAAACGCGCTTCTCAAAAGTGAATTTGCCGGGCATTACTGAATTGGAACCATCTCTGGTAACCCAAAATCTCACATTCGTAGTATAACTGCATTCATAATCCACCTGAAACCTCGCTGTACTTCATTCGGCAAAGCCGGTCGTATTTTGGCCTGCAAAGTTCAGTGATACGCCTCGTGTTAAAGTGTTCCAAATAATTTCACTCATTTCAAAGGAACCGGCCGATCTCGAACGGTTAAGTTCTTATCATCTATTAACACATGTATGTCTGCCATGATATCTCCAAGTTATGTACATTACCACGGACCGTACGTTGTTACTAAAACGATGCACGTGACGGTGCCTCTTAACTGACACTAGCTAAAAAGGGAGAACCTGTCTGACTGGATTTTTATTTGAAAAGCTGATTGTTTAAAGAAATTTAAGCCGAAGAATTTGTTCCTTTCAATCAGATCTCGCGCTAAGCTCCCATTCGCTGACATTGTACATCTTCGCGTGCTACAGGTCGGCTTGGACAGTTAGCACTGTCTGTACAAGGCTAAATACGGCAGTTAGCGTCATTTCGCGCTGAGTGTTCACGTTAGGTTATCTTCTGACAATGAGTAATGGACGTGGGCTCACATTTCTGGTTGCCCCTGATCTCTTTTAGCCACATCCACTCTCAATTCTTCAATCGCCTCGCTGTACGTGGACGAGGAGAACGAAGACGCCATGGTCACTCGCCTCCTTTCCTCCGGGCCTGCCGGTTTCACCGCAGTTCAGAACGCGGTCCACGCTAGCCGCGCCTGTCTGCTACTGCTAAACCTAAAGCAGTACCTGAAGGACGTCTACGGAATGACAGATAGGTATGCGACAGGAGTTCCTGAGTTGTACACCCACAACCTCCCCTGTGGGCGGAAAGCATCCAAAGCAGTCTTCCATTTGACGGTTATATTTTCACTGACGACAGCAACTCTGATCGTCCTTTTTACCCTCTTCATCTTCCAGTAAAGTTCAGAAGTACTCCCCTACGGACTCCTCTAAACTGTGGGAAAAGCAACTGACACGTCGGTCCGGCGTCCGTTTCGTGCCTGCTCTCTGTCTCCGTTCTGCCGCCGAGGAGATTGCCAAGGAAGTGAACAGCGCTAGTGCACCGCAAGCGACCTCCACTGACGAGAAGCCGGCAACTGACGGTAGCAGCAGCAGCAGTGGCCCTGCAACGGCGGAAGAGCAGCAGTCGTCTGCAACCGCCTCCTCCAACGCACAGCCCGAGGAGACCCAGGAAATCAGCACAGAGGCTGCACGCGCTCTGGTCCTCGAGTTCTTGGAGTTCCGAAAGCTCATCCTTTCCATTGATCCGCCGGACGAAGAGGATGCCTTAGATACCTCAATCAACGCTGGCGAGGGTGGGCAGCCACTCCAGGCGGGCGATAACGCCACTGGTACGAGATACTTTACTAATTCCAACAATGTCTCCGCCTTCTCTCAAAACCAGTTCCCGCTTCCTCCACCCACAGTGACGTTTCTCGGCTGTCGTTTCTTAGACCACCTCACGGGACTGAACTCTTGAGCTGATTATATGGGGTAGAATTAGAGAAATTTGTTACTCGCATGGCTAGAGTTCAGTGACTTTGCCCAGACTGATGGGTTGGGTTCGAAACGCCGCATTTTATAGCGTACTTTGTGACGCTTAACCTCAACTTGCCATTCCTTGGCGTTAAGTTCGCATGCATCGGTATTTGTGACACAAATCTTTTCAAGACGCAGAATGAGAACACACAGTACCGTTATCTCTTGCCTGCCCTATCATTAAGACTACAACGCCCCTTGAATAAGTGGTGGAGCTTGGTTTTATAAGTGATGATTCAGAAGGACATTGGCGCGGTATCCAAAAATATCGGCTATTATATATGTAGTTTCTGGGGAACAAAACCGGTAATTATTACTTGCATGGCCCCCTAAACAGGACATGAGAAGAGGAACCGCCCGCAACGCAGGTAGATTTGCGCCAAATTTCAGGGAAACTAGTGTTAAGGTAAGCTAAAGTTGAGATGAGGGCTACGGTTTACGGCCAGTGTGGGGGTTAGCACACGGGAATATTTATCCGGTAAGATGTGGTTTGGTAGCCCGACCTGATGGACACAATACTGTTTGAGTTGGGTTTCATGGTTACAGTTAGGGGATAGGGGTAGCGGTTAGCGCTACTATTTCTCAACCATTTAAAGCATAAGCGCGCATTCCCAATAGCTTTTCTTTTGCATACAACTACTTGACTTCGTCGCCTGTGCGTTTCCCGGCCGCACCTGTAAAACCCCCTATTACCACCGGTCCCGTATTACAAGTGACTAGAGTTTGTTTACTTCAGGTGAGGCTACATAACCACATCCAACCAGCTATCGTCTTTGGAATTATGCGTAAAGCCGCCGTTATTACTTAAGGTTAGCGTTCCCATACATATGTCCTGTTTAAGTGCCATATAATTAATCCTCATCGCGAAACCTTCAAGAAGATTCCTATTCATCATTAATGGAATATGAAGACTTAATTAGTAAGGTCAAGCAGAGAAGGGCGTCTTCTGAGAACGGTTCCGCCACATTGGATTAGTTTGAGGTTGTCTTTTAATGCACTATCACCACCTCTCAGGTTCGGAAGGTTCTTCATCTGTCGGTGGGTCCAAGGAGCGGAGGGAGGACAAGCACTTTTATTTTTTTCTCATGTAACGCGCCACATGCTTGAAGTTGGTTCGTTATTTTTTAGATACTGTACCCACGCGTCTCCCCCCGGGTCGCACACTCGTCCCCCAAACGCATGGAAGGTCATCCGATGAGGAGGATGAGAACTCGGATGATTCAAATGTAAGTCTTCCGTGTACACTAGGACGCGTTTGTATGTCAGCGCTTTGTAAGCGGTTTAGTGTGACTGTTATAGACCAAACCTCACGCACCGGCAGAGCAGTATTAGGCCTTAGAGCGACATGCCGGCACGCCGTCACAGGGATTCATAATGAACGGGGTCGAATGCTGCGGCGAAGTCTACGAAACAGCCTGAGGTCGATTGCTGGCGGTCATAACAGAAATGAAAAATGCACCGTAGTGTTTATATATTCTCGGTGCCTTTAACTTAGAAACCGACTCGATTGGGTTTCATGCTTGAGCGAAGGTGACTTTGAGGCAATCGGGAAAATGGCAGCAGCGTATGCCTTTACGTCAACTCCCATGCGACGAGCCTGGGCATTGTGACTGCTCAGCTATATTTTCAGTCCACACTTCACTTTTGCTTCCCCTGACAAGCAACCCACACTTACTGAACGGTCAGTTCGTCGCAGATTGTAGACCCAGTTTTGTAGCTCCTGATTGCCGCGTGTCCTTGACGCAGTTTTTTCGTGCCTGTGATAGGCTTTTGTGCCTGGCTTATTTCATCTTCTTACTTCCTTTAACACCAGGCCGGTGGCGCTTCGAGACTGCTGTTGGCTCAATCGGCACCCCAACGCCGTCGAGGAGCTGGTGGTAGCGCCAGTGCCCCTAGGGGTGCACGTGCCACCCGCCCCACTCCCACAAAAAGACGCAGCACCCGGCAAAAGCGACTTCGGGTAAGCAACGACAGAATTCTCTCTACCTCTTCCACTCTGTCCTCAATCTCTTCGGTCTTTATCGTCTCCTGTAGCCACGCTCGTCTTTCAAGGCCGATTCATTCAGAATCTACTAGGTCCTTCATGACTAGCCAAGCCATGCCGACTTGTCGGAGGCTAAAGACCTGTAACCGTCCAAAATTTCAGCTACGTCCAATCAAATTTCCCCATTCTTATTTCGAGTGGATCTCAAGCACCCTTTATCTAAATAAAAGGCGACTTGAATGAAGTTGTTTCATATACATAATATTTTATGTGGGTAAATATCCGGCAGATGGTGACTATTGAAGATACTAAATCTCCTCTCCATCCCACTTACTGGCGCTCGGCGTTCTTTGTGGCTGACTGTTGTGGGAGATGATTAATAGGCGTGGTAGTAATCGCCACATTCGAGGTAAGGGGGACTGTGTGTTCTCAAACCCCCTACAGTCATGTAACCTGATCTCTGCCTATCCTTTGATGTCAGTCGCGGTGGCCACGGTGGCGGTTATGCTACCGACTGTCATTGTTAGTTTGCTTATTCTCGCACAGCACTTTGATCCCCACCAATATCTTTCCCTTATTAAAGAGCCAGTTGTTGGCCTCAAACGTATCCATTCTGGGGGTCGTTGAAGTCCGAAGTCTTCGTAACACTTAGTCAACGCGTTGAAAAAGTTGAGTATTGTACTTAAAGACCCCGCCATTGCCCCTCCACTTTTGGATCGAATGTTCTTAACTCCCGCAAATCCAGATACGCAAAAATTGACTAAACCAACCTTGCTGAACTAGAACCTGTTTTGTATGAGAACAACCGTCTTGTGCTGCCGTATATGTTCCGATACTGTTGGAAGTATGACTGTGGGGGATATTTTCGTGTGATAATTCGATGTACAAAGTATTGCGGCATCTTAAGAATTAGACCCATTCCACTCCGTTTTCGGCTAAGGAGTCAGAAACTCTCTGCCTCTCTAAGCCTCACTGTCTTAGTCTGCTAGGAACCATTTTGCTATCCCTTCTAGGTGGTGCTCTCCAGTGATGAGGACTCTGAATCACCCTTCGAATCCGAGGCATCTGACGCCGACTCCTCCTAGCGCTCGCCCCAAGGCGTTTGGCATTCTGTCACCTCCACCACCTCCAACTCCACGGCTTCTACAATCGACTTACAGCCGCTGTCTACCCCCTCCCCAACGTCTCGTCCTCACAGCCTCACACATCAGCCTTCGTCCAGTTCCCCTAGCCCCACCTCCAATGCTACGCACACACGGACTGAACCGCCACTCAGTGTGATAGGACAAACAACTTCAGGTCTCGTAAATGGCAGCATCACTTTGCGCAACGGCAAGCACGGCCTCGCTTCCAATGGAAAAGATCAAGAGAGCACGGCAATCCCGTCAACACCCTCCCCCTCCCTGTAATTAGAAGCGCGGTACACGCTAACTCACTCACATAGACAACTTATATAAAAAAGCCCTCTGTCAGCGCCTCTGCGTGCTATCTTGTATAGAGACCAACGAATAAGCACGGGCCCACCCCTTCCCCACTTGCCACGCCGCGCCACCTGATGACTACCTTGTGACAGAACTACTGTAAATATCTATATATGCATATATATATATACATATCTCCGAAGTGGGCCAGCGCTGATCCCTTCCAATCTGACAGCTCGGCCTGGCTTTGCGTGGACGTGCATGCACTTTGTTGTATAACTTGCCCTTTTTAAAATTATCTGGCTTCTCTTTGGCTTTTTTTGCTCTGGTTTCGTTTGCTTGTTTTTTTGTCTTCTGACCCCCTTTACCTCGGACACTGTCACCACCACCACCGTAACGAGGAACAGCCAACTACTAAGTGCAACGGTGTGCACCTGCCACCAGCCCAGCGATTCGGCGGGCGATGTATAAATATTTCTACCCCCCTCCCCTCACCTTCCCCACTCTGGGTCACTGCAGCGGCCAAGCAAGGTTTTCAATTGTTTAGTAACCAACTGCAGTCCGCACCCCTGGTCTACCCTATCAACAACCGTGTCTCTTCTGAGTTCTCCACCGGCCCCACCTCTGTCGCGTACAATCACCGGCTGTCCTGCTAAGCGTCTATCTCCTGTACAAAAAGACGACTTGTTTTTTCTCGTTCCTCAGTCCATTCTTTTAAATAAATTACGAAGAAAAAAACGGGTTGTATTTCGTGTCTTGATCCCTCGCGTCGACTCTTATCTCGGCGACTTTGCAGCCACCGTTTGATCCTATGTCGGCTGGGCGCGCAACGGTCGCCAAACGGGGAAATTGAATCACGGACTCAAGGAGCCCTATGACCAGGCGTCGTGAGGTTGCGTGCAACCCTTCAGAAATTCCGAATATGTTCCAGTACGCTGGGCTACATGATTTCCAGCCAGAAGGCGTTTGCCCAACTTTTGACCTATTCCGGTAGTGAGGCAACCAACTGCGACCGCGAACCCGCATTGCGCAGATTGTTCGCAGTCGAGGTCTGGCCATGGAGTCGGCAGCGCCATCGAACCGAAATGCCGCCGCGTCCGTCCTCATTCGTGCCTTCTCGCAACAGTGATCACGACTGATTCGGCTGCCTCCTTGTTGGGGCACCCACGAGTGGCCAGCCTCTATTGCAGTTGGTCGGCTGCAGACTCTCAATCGAAGTCGAGCCACCTGACTCTCCAGCCCCTCTGGGCCAGAGGTGTGCTCCGAGTCAACTCATCACGTCTCCACATGTCTTCATCTGGCTGCCTGGACGCCGTCGTCAACTGAGACTGGGTCTGAGCGAAATTACATTATGGGTGAGGGAGCCGCGAGTGCGGCAGATGCTGCGCAAGTCTGTCATCACTGTAAACAAATTCACGCGTGATGCTCGATGTGGGGCACATGATGGACATCGGTCGAACTGTCGGAGCCTTCCTAGGATCGTTGTCAGAACCGTTTCCGTCGCTTGTGTCTATCCAGCGTCTTGAACGGGGAGCGACGTAGAACAGGCGCCGATCCACTGCGGACGGCGAACGTTTCGCAGAAGCCTAAGCCGAGTAAGGCTAATGCCAAACAGCCCTGATGCGCGTGTGCAGACATTCGCGAGAGGCCGTGCGTTGCGACAGGCGCTTGGAGTAGGGCCACTTCATCTCGCGTCAGGAGGACAGTTTCAGGCCACCGGGTGAACCGATACACACAGGTGAGAAGATAGGAACAACCAGTTGACAGCGGCAGGGCGCCTACAATGTCCAGGTGAACGTGGCTCGACCTTGCGCCAGGGCCGGGGAAGCTGCCAATGGGGGTCTTGTTCTGCCGCTGGACCTTACTCCGTTGACAGGCAATACAAGCCCGTGCCCATGCTTTGAGGTCCTTGTGCATCCCAGGCCAGACGAAGCGGTCGGAAACCGGCTTGTCGGTAGCTCGACTCCCAGGGTGAGAGAGATTGTACAGGGAGGCGAAAACTTTACGGCGGAGGGATGGTGGCAAAAATGGACGATGGGATGGGGTGGATACGTCGCATAGAATGGTGCCGTTGCCAGTTGTCAGTGGTAGCTCCTGAAGGTGGAGTCCGGAAACATCCTCATCACAGGATGAACCGAGATGGCGTTTTTCAGCGGCCATCTCGGCGAGTTCAATCCCGGGTGAAAGCTGGAGGTGGGCGAGAGAGGGCCTGGACAGTGCGTCAGCCATCTCATCCCGTGACCCGTTAATATGGCGGATGTCTGAAGTGAACTGCGAAATGTAGCCCAGGTGGCGGATCTCCCGGAGTTTAGTTTGTAAGAGTGGGAATACATAGCAAAGGTAAGTGGTTTATGATCAGTAAAAATTGTGAACTCTTGGCCTTCCAGAAAATTTCGGAAGTGCCTTACGGCAAGAAGTTCACGTCCGAATGTGCTGTTGGGGGTTTCGACCCTGGATAATTTCCTGGAGAAGAAAGCCAAAGACACGGTAGAATCTGGCGTCAACAGCAACATTGGAAGCATCGGCTTGAAAGTGGGTCAGGAGGGTGGCATCAGTCAGAAGGGCTTTTACCTTCCCAAATTACGTGAGTGCTGCTGGTGTAAGTCCAAAGGTGTGCTTTGATTAATTTGATGAAAATTCCGAACCAAATCGATCTTCGAGAAAACGGTTTTGTCAAAGAGAGCTCCAGCAAAGTCCTGAAGCTTAGGAACCGGATACTGATCGGGCATATTGATATTGTTCACGACTCTATAATCGCCGCAAGGACGCCAATCATCCGTTTGTGGTTTAGGAACCCAAGGACTGTCCGACTGTCGAATAGTCCTTAATTGCAACAAGTGGTCGAATTCAGCCTTAGCATCCGCAAGACAGGTGAGAGAAAGAGGGCGGGGACAAGAGAAAACAGGAAGATCACTCGTTTTCTTATGATGAACAACATCGTGGGGCAATGAGGAGTCCGAAAAGTGGAGCATAATGAGAGTAGGATATTTTGCTAAAAGTTTACGGATTGACAGTCAGGGTTTGGATCAACTACAGACAAAGGCTTGGAAACCGGGGATGGATAAAAGCCCCTGACAGGGAAAACAGGTTCGCGATCATGTTGGGAGTGCCTACACTCCCAAAAACAAGAGCAGACCAATCAATGGAGATCACGTGCGTTTGCTCTCTCTCTACCGCACTGTCATCTCAATCAGGCGCTTTCCCATTGGCTGCTCCCCTCTTCCCGAAGGTCATTGGACCGAGTGCCGGCGAACCACGCTAGCGTGTGATAAATATGCGTCACCCTTAGCTAGACGTGACTTGCATTGACTTGCTGAAACGTGTTTTGCTAATACACGTTCCGTGGCCAGACGTGTGTTCTTTGTCTGCTGCCTTGATTGGGAACCAGGGTCGAACGCATACACGCTCCAGGGGATTTCAAGTACTAGGCGGGTCATAACAAATTGGCGACGCAGTTTCTCAACTACGATGGCTGACGAGTACGCAGACTTGAAGCAGATGTTGCAGCAGCAGCTGAAGCTGATGGAGGCTCTGACCGTCAAGCTATCCAATTCATCTATGGGCCAATCAAGCGCGGCTGGTGGTTCACAATCTGTTGATCACATTGCCGGCAGCATCACCGAATTCTTGTATGACCCGCAGACCCATATCACCTTTGATTCCTGGTACAAGCGATATGAGGACTTGTTCTCTGTCGATCTGGCTGCCCAGGACGATGCATGGAAGGTCCGACTTCTACTTCGCAAACTGGGTCCGGCTGAACACGAGCGTTATGCAAACTTCATCCTTCCCAAGAATCCCCGGGAAGTCGCTTTCAAGGACACGGTTCAGACGTTGTCGCAGATTTTTGGTGAGCAATCATCCCTCTTCAACACTCGATTTCAGTGCTTGCAACTGTGCAAACGAGATTCCGATGATTTCATCACGTACGCGGGCATTGTTAATCGTGAGTGTGGGCGTTTCCAACTCGGTTCTCTCACTGAAGACCAGTTTAAATGCCTTATATTTATCTGCGGCCTCCAGTCCCCCAAGGATGCTGATATCCGGACACGTCTCCTGTCCAAAGTGCAGCAGAACAACGCTACCACACTTCAAGAGCTGGCAGCAGAGTGCCAAACGCTGATCAATCTCAAGCACGACTCTGAAATGATTCAGAACCCGGCCTCATCTTTCTCAGTCCATACGGTCACATCGACCAAATCGCATCCTGTTACTCGGCCCAAGCAAGTGTCCAAGTCGAGATCTCCGCCATCTCCTTGTCGGCACTGTGGCGCGTGGCATTTCCACCGGGATTGCACTTTCCGCCAGCATCACTGCCAAAGCTGTAATCAGGTGGGACACCGTGATGGGTTCTGCAAATCAGTACCAGCCTCTGGAGGCAAGCCAGCCCCCGCCACTCCTAATTCCAGGCACCGTTTCCGGTCAAAACGCAAGCCCAAACCCCAGTCCGTGGGTAATTCTCTCAGTCTTTTGGCCGCTTTCCAGCTCAATGCGTCTGGTCGTAGAAAATTTGTTGATGTCTTGCTCAATGGCCATGCAGTTCGTCTACAGCTGGACACTGCCTCAGATATCACCATCATCTCTGAGAGACTCTGGCAGTCCCTTGGCAGCCCAACGATGCAGCAGACTTCTCAGTCCGCCACAAGCGCGTGCGGTGGTCTCGTACAGCTAATTGGGCAGCTGCAATGCTGTGTGTCGTTCCGCGGTACCAGCATCACTGCGATCTGCTACATCACCAAGTCTGATCTAAACCTACTTGGTCTCGACTGGATTGAACAACTTGGGTTGGCCGATATGCCGCTCCGCATTGTTTGCAGTCAGGTGCAGATTCCCGCTGTGCTTGCAGACCAAGCCAAGGACATTCTCCAACGGTTTGCTCCAGTGTTCCAAGACGGCCTGGGTCGTTGCACATACACTCAAGCCGTGCTACATCTGTCTCCTGGAAGTCAACCAGTCTTCCGTCCAAAGCGACCAGTCCCATATGCAGCCCTACCACTTGTCGAGGCTGAACTGAAACGTCTAGAGGAACTGGGAGTTCTGGTTCCTGTATCCTACTCCGCCTGGGCCGCTCCAATCGTTGTGGTTAAGAAGCCTAATGGCTCGGTCCGCATTTGTGCTGACTTCTCCACCGGTCTCAATACCGCACTGACGCCGAACTGCTATCCATTACCGGTTCCGGCTGATCTTTTCACCCTGCTAAATGGTGGCACTTGCTTTGCCAAGTTGGATCTCGCTGATGCGTATCTGCAGATCGAGGTCGCCCCAGAGTCGCGCGAATTGTTGACCATCAATACCCACCGCGGTCTGTTCCAATACACCAGGCTGCCCTTTGGTGTCAAGACCGCCCCGGCCCTATTTCAACAGACGATGAACGCAATGCTCTCCGGCATCCCTGGCACAGCTGGGTACCTGGACGACATCATCATCGTGGATCGCTCCCCTGCCGAGCTGCAAGACCGAGTGTGCGCAGTACTCGAACGCGTGCAGGAATATGGCTTTCGCCTACGGGCCGATAAGTGCCAATTCTTCCTCGACTCCATCAAGTACCTTGGATTCGTTTTTGACGTCAATGGTCGCCATCCAGATCCTGAAAACATTCGGGCCATCCAACGGATGCCTGCCCCCAAGAATGTATCGCAACTTCGTTCGTTTCTTGGCCTGATCAGCTACTATAGCGCCTTCCTACCATCGCTGCATGACGTACGGGCCCCGCTCAACCGTCTGTTGCAGAAGGATGCTTCTTGGTGCTGGTCCCCCGACTGTGAAAAGGCCTTCACCCAGCTAAAGTCGATGCTGAGTTCAGATCTGCTGCTCACGCACTACGACCCGACGCTGCCGATCGTTGTTGCCGCAGATGCTTCCAACCACGGAGTTGGTGCCGTCATCTCACATACTTTTCCTGATGGGTCTGAAAAGGCGATCATGCATGCATCTCGCACGTTAACCCCTGCGGAGAAGAACTATGGGCAAATAGAGAAAGAGGCTCTAGCCCTCGTGTTTGCCGTCAAGAAATTTCACAAACTGTTGTACGGTCGCCACTTCACGTTGTTGACGGATCACAAACCGTTGCTGTCAATCTTCGGTTCGAAGAAGGGCATTCCGGTCTACTCAGCCAGCCGACTTCAGCGATGGGCAACCATCCTTCTTGGCTACGATTTCGACATTCGCTACTGTCGTACTACAGACTTTGGTCAGGCTGACGCCCTGTCTCGCCTCATCAGCAATCATCAGGAACCGGAGGAAGATACCGTGATTGCAGCTATTTCGATTGAGGACGATGTGCGCCGTCAGCTATCAGACGCCATACGAGGTATCCCTGTCACTGCCGCGGACATCCGACATGCTACTGAACAGGATCCTGTCCTCCGCCAGGCCATCACCTACGTGCAGACCTGCTGGCCAACCACTGCTCTCGCTGGTGATCTTCGCCAGCTCTTCCTCCGCCGAGCATCGTTATCTGTGGTTGACTCCTGCCTCATGTTTGCAGACCGTGTGGTGATCCCATCCTCCCTCCGACCTACTGTACTACGCCAGTTCCATGCGGCTCATCCTGGTACCAGCCGAATGAAGTCTATTGCTCGCAGTTTTGCCTACTGGCCGGGTATCGACGGCGACATCGACGACCTGGTTCGACGCTGTTCTCGATGTCAGCAAGCTGCCA